CTCACAAAGCATTTATAAAAGCATGCAATGGATTCCACACACTTCAGGAAAGGCATGTTATGGGTGACATGGGTCAGGGAGATGCGCAGGAGGTGCAGCATGGGTTGGAAAGATATTCAACAGGAGCAGTATGGGCCACGAGGGAGCAACGTAAATTCCCTTTCCAGCAGGCAGGTAAATGATTAGTGCTGAATGGGGGAGGGAGCAATGGATTGCAAAACAGGCTGGAAACTGTCACAGAACATTATAAGTGAAGATCATGTGACCGCAGCAGCATCAAATAGCATTGAAGCAGTCACAATTTCCCCAAATTTCGTTCACTTGGAAATCATGAGTCCTGGAATATTGAATATATTCTGTAAGTTAGTCTATTTGCAGTACCTTGGTTCAAAAATTGTCAGCCAATGTTGCATTATTTCACTCAGTTAAAAGGCATGACAAAGTGAGTATTACATAGATAGATAATCTGCCAACAGTTTAGAGCAATGTTTCCCACTCTCAGCAACTTTAGAATATATGGACTCCACTCATAAAGTCCACACATCTTAAAGTTGCTAAGATTGGAAAACACTGGTTTACACAGAAAATACAGGCAGAAATTCTGTGACTTGTAACTCAAGACATATGAAGGCACCAAGTTAAGAACTTTTGAAGTTAAGATTAAGAGTTCATATAACTTTACCCATCCAAATTTAAATATCAATGATTATATTAGGTTGTGGAGGCCTCAAGGGTTTAAGTGTTAAAGCTACTGGATATGTAGTTCAAGATAATATTATCCTCTGAAAATTTTAGCTTTTGTCACATAATCATATTCCTGTAGTCCACTATTTGCTCCAAAAATTTAGTAAATATATGTCATAAAAACATGTGCTTTTTAAAAAGCATTATCATTATTATACCTCCAACAAATATGGTTTTTAATGTTGTTTTTCTATAAATATAATTGAGTTCAATAAATTCTAATTATTTTTGTATATTAAAATTTTTGTTCAAGTCAATGAAGAGTTAAAGGTTCTTACATGACTTAAACAATGAGAAAATATAGCAAATAGGACTTAAGACATTTTTCCATTGTTTAGGTCATGTAAGAACTTTTAACTTTTCATTCCACTCATTTATTAGTATAAGTGATTTTTTTGATAACAATATATACAAAAAACTAATAGGGGGCCTTAGTTTGAGAAGATTTAACAACTGCATTTCTATATAACAAAAAGCTTTAGATTTGCTGCTTTCAGAAGACTGAAGCCCTCTAACAGAATTTTCAAAACAAAGCAAAAAATTGAAAATAAAATACAGTACACGTGAGACTTTTTTTAAACCTACAATGTAAGTGAACATATGTCTAATGAGTAAGACAATCTTCAGAGTAAACTAGAGGACAAGCAAAAAGCAAGTTAACAGCCTCCAAATGGTTATAGAACAGAAATTCATGAAATTTATTGGATTAGTAACAGGCAGTGGGGTTTAGATTTCATCCTCCTAGAATACACAAACACACACACACAAACACACAAACTATATGCATATTTGTAAATATGTGTGTCTCTGTGTCTCTGTGTGTAGCGGGAAAGGGTGAAAGATGGGAGAGAGAAAGGAAGACAGAAAGTCAAGAAGCTTTACGATACATAACTAAGGTAAAAAAGACAGACCAACATCACTTGGGTTTTGTTGATTTATCCAGCCCCATCCTAAGTTATGAATGTTGTGGAATTTTTAATGTTGTTTTTTATTTTTTTGAATGTCCCCCGTCCCTTTTTTACCTGTAAGTCGCCCTGAGTCTCTTGAGAGTGGGCGGCATACAAACCAATTAAATAAAATAAATAAATTAAATAAATATAAAACAAAGAAATTTTGTCAGCATGTTCCAG